ACTAACATATTTAAGTGCGCTGTTGCCCTCAACCACACTTGGAGTGGGGGTCGTCCGTAGGTGGATTTTTGACACGGGTCTTGCCCCGTGTTGAGATTGCGCTGGAACCCCCATTCCCTATACTACTACTGTAGTTTTCAAAATTATGCAAGGACGTATCCCAGTTAACTATTTTTGCACAATCTAAACACCAATTCACCATTTTCCATACATCGGTTCACTTATCAAACACAAAGCGCTCAAGCTAGGCGCCAAGGTACTATTTAAAGGATTATTCAAATTTGAACCTTGCAACCTCGACTGAATGCTTTGTTTGACCAGTGAGCCAATGTATGGAAAATGGTGAGTGTCACTATGTTATTGGAAACCTCAGTGACAGGGAGGAATAGACCCCTTGCAATACGTCGTCAAAACAGCTCAATTTGGAAGACAACAATAGGTGTCCAGTTGCCTTATTTCACTATGACGTCACTGCTTGTTTATGTGGGGGAGAGAGAATCGCCAAATCCAATAGAAAATTCAACAAAATTTGCTCCTAGCGAAACAGTTTAATCCAAAATGGCCTGGTTTTCAGATATTATATGTGTTAATATGTACTAAAAAATATTCTGAGCGTTTGCTGGCTATTCTACTTCGCTTCGTGGATTGATACGGGTTTTAGAACAATTTTCGGTGAATTTGCGTTGATTTGACCCTGTCCGACGACCATGATCCTTTGTATTTAAACAATAGATTGTTGAAGATTGTTTTGATGTGAGGTCATAGTGAAATAGGGCAATTGTCAGAAGATGAAATTCTTTTGTGTTTCCTCCAAATTGAGCTGTTTTGCCGTCACATACAATTAGTCTATTCTATGAGAATATCCACATTAAATGTACAGCTGAAAATCACTCAGTTTATTGTCGTTTAGAGGACATGTTTATCATGACAACCTGTGTGCAACAAAATATACAAATGACTGTATTAATGATAATTGATATTAATATTATGAGACCATTATGTTAAGTAATATTTATATAATAAATATCTCTTTGAGATTTAAAAAAGGTTATCAAACTCACATTCATCGTAGAAAAAATAATAAGGACAAAAAACCGCGATAAACACAAACAGAATCTTTTTTATAACACTATTGTGAAAATTTAACTGTAATAATTTAAATATTTCATCCTGTATTTTTATGCTTACGCTCGGCGGCTGTATTTGAAAATAAATAAATATTAAACTCACTAAAGCAAGTCTGAATGGAAAAAGTATCTATGTATAACATTGGAATGGCTTCCACTCCAGCTCTGAACCAATCACAACGTAAAGAAAGATACACTGTCCAATCATGGTTCGAGGGCGAAAGCCCTATTGACAATTTATATAATTTGATAATAATTAATGATTATCTATTTTATAGATTGAAAGTAAAAACATCAGATTACACTTTTTATTCACTCACGGCTCAGTTAAGATATATTGTAAAGCGATGGTTGCAAACTTTGAGATCCATTTAGCATAATAGTAATTTTTATTTTTTAATACAGCTATTTAGGAATAAGATTCTTTACTTGGAACATATTCAGTTAGTTTGGTTTCTCATGCGTTACGTGTACCAATACAGCTCACGGAGCATGATTCAAAGTCACAGAACCAACTCAAACGAATCAAAGTACGCGAAACCACAGCTCATCGGACGTTTCATGAATTTTCACGTTCATATGTTCTAATATACTTGCATGCCCTAGCTGACTTGTATATTATGGATCGACTGAAGTCAATGGGATCTGTTGAGGGCATTTGAGGGATTTGCAGTATTCAACAAAAAAGAAAAAGACGAAAGACGCCTGCGGAGGAGGCTATATCTCAACTTAGTTGTGCCCTAACAGTATAGATGGACCTCCTCAAGCATAATGGGACCGTTTGGGAGTTAGTCTTCGTTAACATCTAAATCTCTACCAAGAGAGTTGGAAGTATTTACTGGAGTACTTCATACTCTCTTGCTCTACTTAGCTGACTTTTGCCCTCACACAGAAGTGGACTGAAGTCTAGCATGCCAGGAGGAGTTGTATTAGTGGACTACCTTTAAGTCAAACTTCAGGTGCAACTCGAGGGGATATCTGAAACATCAATAGTAGAGTATAAGCGTTAAGAGATACCTACAAGAGATTTTCAATATATCAGTTCGCTGATCAAACACGAACCTGTAAGGACCTGTATAGTGTCCTCCGCAGCGTCATTAGTTTCGCTCCCAGGTTCTCAGGGGCCCTCCGTGAGGATCTGGGACCGAAACTACTAACGGCTGTGGAGGAGACTAGGACCTGTAAATCTATAAGATTAATGAACTAATATAATGATAACAATAATAGTCCTCGTTTTAAGAGGGTAGCACTTAAATTCACTGGTTAACAATCTGTTCAATAAGCGAGTTGGAATTTAGAAGTTGATTTTTGCAGGCAGAGGGAGAAAAACCTTTGGAGCAGCGGGAAAACCCACAAGCAACTCGACTCACATATGACGGCGAGTCGCGGGGATCGATCCCACGACTACAACAGCGAGATACTAGGCTGTTACGTTTTGAACAGCAAACTCATGTAATGGGACGTATTCGCTAAGCAAGGCTATGCAGAGACCACACTTACCCCAAGGAGATTTCTAGGAATATATCCCAGTTGTCCTGAGCTGTTCTTTGCCCACCACCATTCCTTCTCGTTACTGTCTCCCCTTCTTAACACATACAGCTCTTCCCCGCACTCGAAGCTCAGTTCGTCTTTTTCATTCGCGTTGTATGCAAATAGCGCGTACACTTTACCATCAAAAGTCATTCCAAAGTTATCTTGAATATCTGGTAAAAGAGGAAAGATTGTGTGAATCAGAATGAATGACAGGCTGCAGGAGATCCAACGAAAGGAAAACCAACAAAACCCTAAACGTTTAATTGACAAGGAAAGCCAACGACATATTGACCGAATAACCGACCGACCGACTGACTTGTAGAGTCACTCATAGAGCACCCGACTGAAAATGTCTCTGTCTGGCCAATTGGCTGATTGGTTGATTGACCAACTTGCTGACTGTTCGTTAGAATCAATGACCGGTCACCGGACCGATCGAACTAGCGGGAGACTGACAGAATCGTATTGCTTGCTTTCAATCAATTGATAAAAGTTTTTAAATCTTATTATCTGCTCCACATGGTGGTCAAACCCTGACCACCATGTGCTGTCAACCAGAAAGAATTCTATTGAAAACTTGCGATTCAGCTGATGAACATACCGCATGATACATGAAAAGAAGTGAAGTGAAAGCCAGCAATTGTAGCATCATCAATCCAATAGACCTCCTCGGCTGGGGTCCAACGTTTTCCCATTTCAGACCATGTTTCATTTTCTTGAGAATAAGATTCTTTGTTTGAGTTGTATCCATATTCATGTGTCTTTTCATGCGCAACCGTTAAACAAAGAAATGATAGTCTAGGAAAAGACACGTGGTCTGAAATGAGAAAACATTGCACCCGAGCCGAGGAGGGCCACTTTCTTACCTCGGAGATAGTCAACACACTCTTTGTAGCCAGGAAGAGATTTCTCACAGCACTGCACGGGAGTCTTCTTCTGCAGTCCAGTGGTGGCAAAGATACAAGCACCATGTTCAACCAAGTACTTTATGACACTGATGTTGTTGTTGGCAGCTGAGCAGTGGAGTGGAGTCCTGCGGTAAACAATAAATATTCGAGAAATTATACTACAAAAAGAACTTGCGTGCGAGCGCACGTTAGATGGCAGTGCAACGAAATTCCATTACTCTCGGGAATTGAATTGACACACCGATAAAGTGGCCTGTATATAGCCAAGTACTTACCACCCATGTGAGTCTGGTAGGTTAACATCACATCCATACTCTACCAAGAACTTCACCACGGAGTCATGGTTACCACAGACAGCATTATGCAATGCGGTTATACCATCATTGTTAGCTAAGCTTGGATCATCTACCTGCGTGGTCGGAAGAAAAACATTTATTATCTATTTTTAATGAATAATATTTAAGTACTTTTAAAATGACTAAAATTCCATATGAATATAATGAAATGTAAATATCAATTAAACGTGTTCACCAATGTTTATTATAATTGGTTACCTTGAAAAAGGCCAAAATTGGCAATCAGAAAAGGTAAGCCTCCCCCCCAAACCCCAAATCCCAAATCAAAGTTTTCAAAACGTTTACCTAAATCCCCAAACAATTTATAATCCCTAGAGAACATTAATGTTCTCAGGAAAAAAACAGATGAATGTAGTCCCTCTTTTGTTTTCAGACCCTTCCTATAGATACTTAAGGAATGGATCATAAAACAGTAATGATGAAAAAGTAAATTATGGATGGATCATAAGTAGCGTGCGCATTACTCGATGGACGCACAGCTACTTATGATCCATTGTTTTTATAATATAGTCAAGTCAACAAACAAGAAATGAATACAAAATATTGACTTTATTCGTTGATCATGCCCTAAATTCTCCTTACGCACCTTGCGTAAATGAAAAGCACAAAGGCGCCAAAAACAGAAAGACAGTCGTTTTGAAAATGGCAGCTATATTATAATCCTACATTAGTTAATAAAAAAAACAGTTCCCTCAAAACCTAAATATCCATTTCCTTTTGCTCAACTTACATCTCTGATGACACGTTTTACTTGTTCCAGTTCCCCCTCGACTGCAGCGTCCAGTAGTACAGCATGAGGATCAAGGATCACGTGACGTACTCTCTTCCTCTCTCCTGACGTAGGCGTTTCCTGGGGACCTGGTGAACTAACTTTTCCTTTATCTGTATCACCATATTTTTTCTCTTCTGTTAACGACGTACTATGAACGTTCTGTTTATTTGTGGGCGTAGCTCGTAATTGGCTGGAAGTGGTTGTCATGACACTACTTCCCGGGTCCGCTGACCGCGATGAACCTGGACTACCCTTTTCAACTGTGAAAGGTTCCTTAGGGTCGATAGCTATAACCCTAGCAGTTCGCATTCTGTCTTGTGATTTACCATCTCCTTTAAGGATATTTATATCTGTGAATTCAACATTTTCTCCCCTCGTGTGGTCAGATATCTCTGGTGTAGTTGGTGTTGGATGTATTCCTGACGACGTTAGCGTGATTCTAACCTTAGTAACTGCCTGAGATGAGCTAGTACTAAATACTGGGTCAGTGTTATCATTTTTTTTACTTGAAATTTCCTCAGAAGATAATGCCTTACGAATAGGAGCAACGGGAAACTTTCTTTCTTGACTTCCATAACTATGTCTTTTTGTTTGATTCTGATTTGATTCTGTTCTGCCATCCTCGCCATCGCTAGATAAAATATCTCTAACCGGAGAAGAAGCAAACACCATAGCTACAGAAGGAGAGCTTGTTTTCCGAGTTGGAACTTCAGTTGTGTTCGTCTTTTGTGGAACAAACGATGTCCCCGTAGGTTTAACCATAAAATTGACAGTCTGTTGGGACCTTGTATGAACTTCTTCATCATGAGGAACTTCTTGTTGACTCGCATGTCCTTGTGAATTTGTCTCGTGAGGAGACTGCGACACACCCAAACCCCTTCGACTCGTCGTTCGACCAGACTCACTTAGTGATATAGCCATAGACCTAAGCTGTTGCAAAGATGTTTTTACGTTTCCAAATGGAGAATTTGAATTGCCCGTTGTAGTCTTATCTCTACTAAAGTCTTGTGTACTTGAGGGTGAACCTTCCACACTGTTCGACAACTCACTGTATCCTTCACTCTCATAATAAGATTCTCGAGGTTTTTCATAAGAGGTACTAACAGACGACGTCTCTAGCCCAGTAGTCTTGGATTCCCTGCTTCTCAACGCATTTTCTGGATTGATTCGAAGCTCATCATGTCTACCTATAGTTCTACTCGTTGAAGATGTCGACGAAAACGAAGAGAGTGAAGATAAAGAAGACGGAGAACTGAGTGGAGACGAACCGAATGGTCGATGATAAAATATATTATCAGTTGCCTTCTCTGATTCCCGACCTAATGACGTTTGTAGTTTCATTGAACTGTTATTTATCATTTCGTGTCCTCTTGTGTTCATAGTTTCAACGTGTTTTGGCCCCATTTCTAAAGTACTTCCCCTCGACTCATAAGAAGATTCGTTAAACGCGTCCTTCTTGGCGCCTTTACGATCCTTAGATTCATTTTGAGCCGCAACTTCCGCCTCAAAAAATGTAGCCAGCCGCGACACGCGAGATTTGCGTCCCTGTTTGGGAGAAAGAGGAACTCCTTGACTATTGGAACTGCCATCTATTGAAGACGTCTTACTCGTACCAGGTGACAATGGCTCTTCTTCCTCTACTAGTGTCTCTAAGGGCCTAGAATTATTCTGCCGTGAACGATGCCCGCTTATACTCATGTCGGAGTCGTTGTAGTTTAAGCGTACTTCTTCGTCATATGTATCCTTAGTATTGGCGAATTCACTCCAATCAAATGATTCCCCATTTTCCCACAAACCGTTTTCCATGTCAGACACGTCCTGATTGGCTGTTCCATTCCTGTGGTTTGTGTTGGGCGTGGAGTGCACATTCCCTGCCCTTTTCTTGTGCAGTTCTTGAGTCAGTTGGTCGATTTGTGAGTCCAGTTCAAATAGTTCTTTGTGTTTTTCTGCTAGAAGTTGTTTTTGTGCCTGCATTTGGACACTCTGCTGATGGTTCAGCTCATTCCTTGTCTGCAAAGAAAAAAGACGAACAATTCACCTTCTGGATTCGTTTTTAACTTATAACTACCAGCGGCGTGTCGTATTTTACCGTAAACATGCACGTTACGCGTTGTGATTAGCGAATGAATTAGTTAAAGACAATGTAAAGTCATTTCAATGTTATGGCCCGGAGAAAAAAACCCTCGAAGCACAGGAGAGATTACCAAAAAACAATTTGAACCTACACGACACCGAGCTCTCTCAATGCTAAGCCACCAGTGCTTCCCAAATACAACATACAAACAATGCTTAACATACCATGAGTTCCTGACGCAGTCTGTCCACCTCAATCTCTTCCTTATTTCTTTCATTCTGGTTAGAGGCGTTCTTCCATTTTTCTCGCTGTTCATTCAGTTGTTTAGTCAAACCTTCAACTTTAGCAGCAGCTATCGCTAGTTCCTGTTCTTTGATGGTAAACAGTGTTTCCATGGACTGCAGTTCTTCGTCTATGAAAAAGAAAAACATATGATTACAATACATGAGTACTAGGCTATGACTCAAGTCTGTAAGAGATCTAATTGTTTTAGTAAAGAATGAAGTCTGAATTGGAAAGTCTTAAAAATCACGAGGGCATGCCAAGCCAAGATTGCGTTCAGTGGAAACTTCAAATCTTTTTACAACCTCTGGGCTGATCAAAGTCAGGGCATGGCTAACTTACAGATCGCACCCTGAAACAACCTTTGGACTGATCAAGAAATCAGGGCATGGCTAACGCACAGATCGCACCCTGAAACAACCTTTGGACTGATCAAGAAGTCAGGGCATGGCTAACGCACAGATCGAACCCTGAAACAACCTTTGAGTTGATCAAAGTCAGGGCACAACTAATTCACATATTTAACTTGAATTTAGCTAGAATTTAGGTTTTGCAGAGAGTGGAACTTGTAGAAAACCCCTAGAATCAAGGAAGAGACCTAACAAATTCTCAGACTAACAAATCCAGGAATCGAACTCAAGACCACGAGGTGAGAGGCGAGTAAACTACCGCTACGCCACCCTTGGTTCACCTTGAATAGTAAAAACTTACCCAAAACACTATTGTTCAATCTGTAGGCTTCAATTTCGTCCTGTATTTGCCTTAGTTCTCTCATTTTCATGTCCTGTTCGTGTATCTGAGTCTCCAACTGGTCTATGTACGTACTTCTGATTTTATGACGAGTTCTCTGTTTAATCTCCTTCAACTGTTGTTCTTTCTCAGCTAGTAGTCGTTCTTTCATCTCTATTTCTTGCTGCTGTCTAACTGCTAACTGCTGAAGATCTTCCAGTGAGTATCTTTCACTCATGTTATACTGGAATATGTAAAGACATGATGGTTTAGCTAAGACTGGGCGAGTGGAAGCCTGCTCACACCTTTAGTTGTTGAAAATAATTGATAATGAAGGTGGCAAATAAATAAAAAAGCTACAGAAAGCAATTTGAAAACGAAAACCACATAAAGGGTCAAGTCTTACCCTTGAGATGCCATGGTTCTCATGCAAGCCATTTCTTGCTACCATAAGTGTAGAGCCTATGTTGAAAATCATACGATAACAAAAAGAAAAAGAAAACTTAAAAGAAAGCAAAAATGAGAGGGAGTCCCAGATTTTGGACCTTGTCTCCTGGTAAGTTCACCTTATCTCCAACATTATCATCATATATAGCTTAGGCTGCGTTCATGATGTATGACAGAGGGGGGGGAGGAGCAGGTGAAATTTAGGGGGGATCGGAAAAATTTTTACCAGTAAAATAAGGTGGTTCGAAAAAAATTTTCAGAGAATTTGGGGTGATAGATAGGGATTTGGAGAGATTGTCCAGAGATTGAGGGGGGATAGTTATTTTTGGGGGGACTTCAAGCGGGGATCTTAAGAATATTTTTGTCATTTAAAGATTTCACCTGCCCCCCCCCTCTGCCATACATTATGAGTGCAGCCTCACATTGACCTTTTATATTGGTTCAACCATCTTTGAACCTGAAAATATTGGATTGTTGTTGCACTACACAGCTAGCCCACTGTGTTGCCATGACCCTTCTGTATGAAGGGTCTTCAGAATTGAATACTAAGGGGGTTGGCAGCCCTGGAAACTGCACCCTTGAAATACAAATGCAGACTTATGACAGCTCTTATTTGCATAGCTAGAATTTCTAAAAATGTGGTTACAAGTCAAAAAAGATTTCATCTGGCCAAGATGGGGTCCTGATCAACCATTTTCTTTTGAATAGGAATTTAGATAAAGAGGTAATCTCACCTGAAATCTGTGGTACGTCTTCTTCTATGATTTGAATTCCATCAGTGACTGGGACCATTAAGTGTGGTGATAAAATCTCCTCATAGGGTCGTAAATAAAACGCAACCTCTTCTAGGTCGGTATCCCACTCAAGTAATGTACTCTGAATTAGCTCATCTTCAGGCACAAGTCGTTCTATTAACATGAACAAAAATAACTTAATTTGAATTCTTTAGAATTACTGCTATTTTTAGTAGAGCGTGCTGCGCCAGTATCCCATTAAAATAATGTACTCTGAATTAGCTCATCTTCAGGCACAAGCCGTTCTATTAACATGAACGAAAATAACTTAATTTGAATTCTTTAGAATTACTGCTATTTTTAGTAGAGACCTCCGCTCTCCAGAATTTTACTGGGTAGAGAAACGTTTGAAGTCACCAAATCCCACACCATATAACATTCTTTTCAGCATGTGAACCTGTTGGAGTTAGTGCTTGAACTTGCTTTGACTACAGTTGAAACCAAGTTAACATTTCTCATAGTTTTGTTTTATAAGATGAGATTTAGTAACAGTGGAAGGCCAGGGAAGGAACTACAAGCCTGGAAAAGCACTTGTGGTTGAATTTATTAGAGATATCATTGATTAGATTGTAAAAAAATGTAGGTAATATGGTCACAGGTTATTTTCCAAGCTCTGTTTTTCCAGCTTTAACTTGGTTATAAAAACACAGTCTTATAACAAGTTCACACACTCAACTCCACCAAGTTCACATCAAGTTCAAGATTTTCTGAGTTCTCCAACTGTAAAATGGACAAGCAGTTGTTCCAGCTGTAGTCTATGGTTGATATTACAGCACATGATTGCTGAATGCATACCTGTATATTTTTATTGCAGTAGTTAAATTGTCAATAGTATGTGTGGAGCCATACAATATTAATTCACAATAAAATAGAGTTTTGGTGGACGTCAATCAAAGCGTTTCCATGACACTGTTGAAAACACAAAGGGCAAGTGTCCTGGAAATGCCTTTCAAATATTAACATCCAACAAACACTATTAATATGAAGATTCTGCATATTCTGATCTACTGAGAATGACTGGAAACTCTATTGTATTTTAAAGACATACCACATCCCTGCCAAACTTCCACAAGACAACAGTTTGTCTGTCTAATCTGTCTTTGTAGCCTCTGTACAATGTCTCGGCATTTGGTTGTTGGTGATACAAATATTTCTGATATCCTGCCATTATCATCCAAGTGGACCTTTAACTTCATCTGGAAATAAAATAGAGCCATACCACTTATTTATCTCAAACAATAAAACAGTCTTATTATTTAACCTAAAAATATCAATGGGAAATATATAACCCCTGAAAGGTTCACACAAATAAAAGTACTGTCAACCACCCCTAGCACTTGGACAAAGGGAGTACCCCCACCCCCATCCCTCAGAATATCACATGACCCGTTCCAACCCACTTCTTAATAATGGGAGGCTAAATTTAGAATGATAGAATGGGATTTTATCTTATTACATAGTGTTGCACCAGGAAAAAATTAGACTATTAATGCTCAAGACTCAATGAAGTTGAGGTTTTACTTGTATATATAACACATGGAGAATGGAGACAAAGCTTAAAGCACAAATCAACAGTCTGGAGAGAAAAGCAATATTGTAGACTGAGTGTTGAAAAGATTTCAACACTATCATTGCTGTAAGCAACCTTAAATCTAAACCTCCTTTTTCACACTATGATAATTATTTTACTTTTAATACTAATACTAATAAAAATTATACAAATGAACCATCACGACTCCAAAAGAATGCATGATGATAATATCTGTGCATTTTCATGTTTCAATACCGTATTATTGTTATAATAAATTTATATAACAATGCAATTGTCTAACTTGTGTGGTGTCAATCCAAATAACCTATTCCTAATTAACCTTGGTTAAGCAGTTATTTAACCAGGGCTTTATGAGGGAAATAAAATGAATACCTGTCTATCCTGTATAAACAACTTTTATTATGATTGGAAAATTTACAAGAGCGAACAAGGGCAATGTCTATTTTTGTAAAATATTAAATTAGCTAACCACAGCTTACTCAAGTTCTAAAACCAAGAATCTAAACAATACTTTATGATCAAGAATGACATCATAAGCTTGAAGTAATTAGTTAAGTTTTGGAAAAATAACTTCAATCTATTCCTTCTAATCTTGGATTTTTATTTGGTTTAAAAATTGATCTAAAAACTATCCAGAAAAATACTAAACCAACAATCTAAATTTACAGATATGTAGAAATGAGAAAACAGCTGGATACGAATAAATTAATTAAAACCAAAGCAAAGCAATAATAACAATAATGTACATGGCAGATGTCTTAATAGGAATTCAAAGATATATTCCATCAATGAAATATAGTATTTTCTCATAAATCGATTCTGTTTGATATTTGATCGAATGTAAACCAAAAACCTAGACAAATATTTCACTGCAATATCGAATTAGGAAAGAGGTGCTAATTCGAAAACATGAATAGCTTCCATTATTAGAATTGAATATATTTAGTACGAAGATCTACAACAAATCATTCTTTGACAGCTAAGTTATAAATTAATTCTGTAAACATGGTCTTGTTTTCTGAGTCACTCTATCAAGTGTAGTAGCTCCTTACAGATGTAAATATGTCTTTTAGTTTGATAAAATAAAAATTAGGATACCATTTCAGAGTAAAAAAGTTTTCCAAAAGAAGGTAAGCCATTTTAGCGGCACACGACGTCGATTATGAGCTTAATCACCAACCCACAGAACGCATTCGGGTAAAAATAATATACAATACTTGCTCACAATGATGCTATCCTTTTTCTCACACTTCAACCTGGTGCTCCAAAAGCTCTTGTACAAATGTATCAAATGGTTGACCTAAACATTTTTGGTTATAATCAACGAACCATCTCAATGACAAAGGAAGATGTACTTGCTATACACTACTGCCACCGGCCAAGCATGAATTTTTAAAACAAACTACTTAGGTTTCTTAGGTTGTCAAATTCTTCTAAAAAAATTCCCAAAATTGCCATAGAATGCATTCAAGAAATTTCCTACACAAGGGAACATGAAGAATAGTTATCTGTAATGAAGTTTTGTTAGTATTTAAGAGTTTATAAAGGAGTTCATTGACGACTTACCCGTCCACGGGCCGCCATGTTGTTTACCATCCAGCATGCTATTCGAAGCTACGTTCCTAAGCAATACAATAGGTATGTACTTACCCGGAGGGGGTAAAAATATTTTTGGTACAAAATTTTAAAACGCTAAATTTATTTAGAAACTCATAAAGATAGAAAAAAAATTATCATCATTTCAATATAAATCAATATTGAAATAAACTCAAGTGGGTGCTTTGTTTATTAACTATGATTCTATTAAAATAAATTATTATTTCTTTTGACTGGAAGTCCACCATAGCTGACCACCCCACTGAGTTGATTTTTGTTCAAAATAACGCGGCAAAATTTACAATTTCGCTTTCAGTTTAAACTGCACTTTCGACATGAATCGATCAGAACTTCCATAACAAGTTAAAAACCCCACAACATTACGAGAATGGCATGTAGCGAGCGTGTAATAGCCTTGATAGATATGGACTGCTTCTATGTGCAAGTTGAGCAGAGAAGATGTCCGTCTTTACGAGGGAAGCCATGTGCTGTTGTGCAGTACAACAAGTGGAAGGGAGGAGGGTAAGAAATACTAATCTTATTTATATATTATACCAAACTACCAGGAATTAATAAGATTATATATCAGCATCATTTAAAGAAAATTTTAGCTAGTTTTCATAGTCAAAAGTCGCTACTTTTTCGCATAAGTGAAAGAGGGATTTTTTAAGTTTCTTTAGTATAAGTTGACGGTACGTACGTTTGATTTCTGTTCAGGCATGTTTAAACTTGCCTATTCGCATAATGTTAGGGAAGTTTTCTAAATTTCTTCCTCATGTGATCATGGACTTCCTGAATCTCTTTCTATATTTTATATTTCTATTTATTGGTGGATTTACTTTCACTCAGAATAAAGTGATGGACTTTATAAAATTGATCATTTTACCAAAAATAATAAATTCAAAATAAAGCATAAATTATTAAAGTGCTACTATGACGAAAATCGCTCAAACTTGGATTCAGCTGAAACTTCCTAAGAATACTCTTTAAAGGTCCAATAATTACTGTATGAAGTATTTTCTCGATATTCATGACGAAAGTATGATATTTTTACGATTATTTTTTGGAGTCTGTGACGTCATACACTCAACATCAAACATTGCTACATAAATTTCTTTGTATATAAATCCTTAATTTAT